GGCTGGATTCGAACCTGCCACCTTAGGTGTATGTGGCTGGCGCCCTAGCCACCTGAGCCACAGGAGCCGAGCCTTGACTTTTTCTAAGCTTACTTCACTCCAAACACATTGGCATTGCCTATCTCAGGGCTTTGGCTTGGCTTTTCTGCTTAGAATGCCATTCTGAGAATCTGCATAGTTTACTTCATTACTTTGTTGCGATAGCTCCTCAAATGTGACTTATCAGCAAGCCTTCTCAGACCACCCAGTGTAAATTGGCAGTCTCTAGTTTGGCATACCCTATCTTTATTCCTTTGCTTTATTTTTCTCTTTGGCTATTATAACCATCTGACATATGGTAATTCCCCCCTTATCTATGGTTTCACTTTCCATGGTTTCAGTTATCTCTGGTCAGCCATGGTCCAAAAACATTAAACAAAATATTCCAGATATAAGCAATTCATAAGTTTTAAGTTGTGTGCCACTCTGAGTAGCATGATGACATTTTGCACCATGCTGCTCCTTCCTACCTAGGATGTGTATTATCTCTGTCCAACATATCCATGCTGTATGTTACCTGACTTGCCAGTTAGTCACTTAGGAGCTGTCTTGGTTATCAGATCTACTGTGACAGGCTCAGCGCCTGTAGCTCACCAGCTAGGGTGCCAGCCACAGGCACCAGAGCTTGAATCCAGCTGGGTCTGCCGAACAATAACTGCAATCAAAAAAATAGCTGGGCGTTGAGGCAGGTGCCTGTGGTCCCAGCTACTTGAGAGGCTGAGGCAAGAGAATTGCTTAAGCCCAAGAGTTTGAGGTTGCTGTGAGCTGTGACACCATGGCACTCTGCCAAGGGTGACATAATGAGACTCTGTCTCAAGGGGAAAAAAAAAAAAAAGATCTACTGTCACAGGGCTTGGGTTCAAATAACCCTTATCTTACTTAATAATGGCTCCAAAGGGCAAGAGTAGTGATGCTGGAATATTGTTATAATTGTTATATTCTATTTTATTTATTAGTTATGACTATTAATTTCTTACTGCACTTAATTTGTAAATTAAACTTTATTATAAATATGTGGGTATAGGAAACAGTACAAGAGATAAACTGGGGTCATACTATTAAGCTGGTGTATCAACCAACCCTTCTTCTTATAGTAGACAATAAATGAAGTCCATTATTATCATCCCTATTTTATAGATGAGGAAATCGTGGTACAGAGAGAATTAAGTAAGTTGTCCAACATCAGAGTGAAGCCAGGATTCAAATCCAGGCAGCCTAGCTCCAGAATCTTTATTCTATTTTTTTTTTTTTTTTTTGTAGAGAGAGACAGAGTTTCACTTATAGCCCTCCGTAGAGTGCCGTAATGTCACAGCTCACAGCAATCTCCCACTCCTGGGCTTAGGTGATTCTCTTGCCTCTGCTGGGACTACAGGCGCCCGCCACAATGCCCGGCTATTTTTTTGTTGCAGTTTGGCCGGGGCTGGGTTTGAACCTGCCACCCTTGGTATATGGGGCCGGCACCCTACTCACTGAGCCACAGGTGCCACCCCAGAATCTTTATTCTATGTACCTCTCCCAAGCAACCTGATACTAGACTACTTCCAACAAGTATGTGGGGGGTTTTTTTGTAATGCAAAAGAAGTCTTTGGTCATTTACAGGTTTCAGTAGGTAACTGCACTGTGCATACATTGTAACAAATTTAGAGTGGTATATATTTTTTTCCCATTTACTGCACATTTTGAAAACAAGATATCTAGACTCTAAGAAAGTGTTATCTAAAATAGATAAGGTTAAATCCCAGAGGCTCTGTCACCTAGGCTGGAGAATACAACATGATTATAATTCACTGTAATCATCAAACTCCTAGGCTCAAACAATCCTCACACTTCAGCTTTCTAAGTTGCTGACATTACAGGCATGCATCACCACACTCAGATAATTTTTAGTATTTTTTGCAGAGAAAGAGTCTCACTACCCAGCTGGTCTTAAACTCCTAGTTTCAAGGGATTCTCTCATCTCAGTCCCCCAAAATGGTGGGATTACAGGAGAGAGTTACCACACCTGGCCTTCTCCTATAACTCTTAAACCCACTGGGACTTTATTCTGAGAAAAGGATAAAGCTCTAAAGATCTAAAATAAAATTTCCCGAAAGAGTAATCACGTATCTCTTGGTTACCCGAAAGAGAATCCAGGGAAGGCAGCTAATGAGTATACTCTTTGTGTCATGCAACCCATGCAAGGCAAAGAAGAGACACTTTCTTTGCCCTCAAAAAACTTCATGGTAAAGTGGAACAGAACTGACAGTAAGGTTGTTTGGAAGTGCTAAGTACAGTGGCACCAATGGAGTCTTACCTTTAAGTTGTGCAGGAAGATGTCTGACGGATAGTACTTCTTGCACAACATACTGATTCACCCCTCCACTTTTCAGCAACTCCTCTGGGGATAAGGGCAGATGGAACTCATAAAGTTGGGGAGACATACTTCTTCCAGTGGCTCAGAGGGCTGGAAACCAAACAGTAAAAAGGTCAGGGTCTATATATCCAAGACCTATCTTTTTATCTGGTTCTATTATTTTTCCTGCTTTCAATACATAACAATTTTGTCTTACAACAAGTGGTTAACATTATCCTAGAGTATGTGAGATCAAGTCTGGACTAGAGTCCAGTTCTTTTTTTTTTTTTTTTTGAGACAGAGCCTCAAGCTGTGGCCCTGGGTAGAGTGCTGTGGCATCACACACCTCACAGCAACCTCCAACTCCTAGGCTCAAGTGATTCTCCTGCCTCTGCCTCCCAAGTAGCTGGGACTACAGGCACCCGCCACAACACCCGACTAGTTGAAGCCATCATTGTTGTTTAGCAAGCCTGGGCTGGATTCGAACCCATCAGCTCAAGTGTATGTGGCTGGTGCCTTAGCCGCTTGAGCCACAAGCGCCGAGCGTAGAATCCAAATCTGGTAGTGACTCTGCCACTTGGTCATGTCACTTAACTCTCTGGGCCTAATCTGCAAAACAGGGTGACTAGGTTCGGATCCCACAGCACAGTGGTTACTGTGCCAGCCACGTACACCAAGGCTGGTGGGTTCAAACCAAGCCTGGTTCGGCTAAGCAACAATGACAACTGCAACAGAAAAAGAGCCAGGCATTGGGGGCAACATAGTGAGACTCTGTCTCAGAAAAAAAAAAAAAAACACAAGGCTCGGCACCCAAAGCACAGTGGTTACGGCGCCAGCCAAATACACCAAAGTTGGTCGGTTCAAACCTAGACCAGGCCAGCTAAGCAACAATGACAACTGCAACAGAAAAATAGCCAGGTGTTATGGCAGGCGCCTTGTAGTCCCAACTACTTGGGAGGCTGAAGTAAGGGAATGGCTTAAGCCCAAGAGTTTGGGGTTGCTGTGAGCTGTGAAGACACAGCACTCTACCCAGGGCGAAATAGTGACACTCTTTCTCAAAACAATAACAACGACAGGGTTACTAATCCCTGATTACTTCATACAGTTGCTCTGATGATCAAATGAACAATAGATATGAATGCATTTAAAGAGCTGTAAACTAGCATAATGTATAAAGTTAGTATTATCTCTATTTTTGCGTGCAAATCTTCTTAATGATAGAGCGAATGGTCTGATCTCACCTGAGCCGGAACAGTGCCCCAGAAAGCGCTACTGCGTTTTCTGCACCAGGCAGGACGGGAAGAGCATTAACACTGATTATTTGTTTGGTGGCAGTTTCCATTAGGCTTTTCGAAAACATCATATACTATCTAAATCTCCTAATCTCAAACCTACGAAGCATATAATAATACAATCTAATGTACAAATGAAGTAATTAAAGCTAAAAAGATTTAAGCGATTTGCGTAACATGCTCGGTTGCGGATCTGTCAGAATTAACGTTAGTACCACATCGTGCCCCACAGATAACTACTAGACCTCCCTGCCTATTGCATATTGCCTAATACTGAGGTATACTGCCCTCTACCCCGTTTGCGCAGCCTCTCGCGACCTCCTCCTTATTAACACCACATCTTACCCGGGGACCTCACCAGCCGCTGCTCTGTTTCTGGGAGTCGGGCAGAAATGGAAGGCAAAAACACGAGTGCACAATACGCACCAATCAGCTAGGCAGTTCTCAAGTTGATAGGGAAACCGACCAATCCCCGGTAGGCGGAGGCAAAGTCCCGCCTCTGAGCCAGGCGCAGCGCGGGGAAAGCCACAAATACAGAGTTCAAATCTCAACGGCCGCAACGGGACCAATCGCGACGCTCGCTAGAGAGGCCGACCAGTCACAGCACAGGAGCCTCGGGCCACACCGCTGCCAGGGATGAGGGGTGGGGCAAGACGGCCCACCATCCCAATTGCGCTCTTGGGCCGCTAAATCTTTCCCCATGAGGTTTCCCCGATATTGCAGTCGGCCGGGAGGAGGTCTTAGAACTGCTAGCCCGAGATACCGTGTTCCTAGCTGGGCCGTGGTAGTGTTCCTGCAATAGTGAACCGCTCAGGCATTCCCCAAACGTGTGGCAATCCAAGCTGGGAGAAAGCATGGGTTCTATTCCGGATTTCGCCATTTCCTCCGCTCCGTGACGTCCAGCAAGTCCCTTCACTCACTGGGCCTCAGATTTCCTTCCCTGTAGTAAAATGGGGGTAATAAAAACAGCAACAGCCCAGGACGGTTGTAAGGCACAGAGAAAGGGGTTGGTCTTCGAATACTCCGAAGTTCCACGTTCCAGGTTTTGGACAGTCATTTCCCTCACGGTTGAGGGGGTCCCAAAGGAAACAGAGTGAATTTTCTTGAAATTAGTTTTGAGTATTCTACACAGCGATGAGGCGCAGAACTAGCCTTTCAGGGAGCTCCGATGGGCAGTCCGGAAGCTCTTAAGCAGTGTTAGTTGTCCAGACTTCCAGGGGCCGGAACCCGAAGGGCGGGGCTTAGAGCTGGGAAGGGAGGAGTCTAGGCAGGCCCTGCGCCCAAAGGCACCTGGGTAAAGCTCAAGATGGCTGCCTCCACTTTCTTACCCTTGTGAGGCCTTCGGGGACTGGCCCCGCTGTCATTTCCCTGAAGGCCACGTCTGGTCTGCGTACTTGGGCTTATTTGCTGTGCTTCTGAGGGAGACATACTAACGCAATGGCAAGGAGCCTCTCCTGGGGGGCAGGAAGGAGCTTGTGGAGCTGGGTGCCCTTGGCGTGCAGACGCTTCTCTCTTGGTAAGTGGCCGATGTAGACTCCCCTAGAACTGCTTCTTAGTAGGCAGCTCAGATTCATTCACTCTCTTCATTCGTAGGTATTCCTGGATTATCCCGTGTAAGGGTCACCCTCCCGCCCCCAAAAGTGGTTGATCGTTGGAACGAGAAAAGGGCCATGTTTGGGGTGTATGACAACATTGGGATCCTGGGTAAGACTCTACGTGGTACACAATTTCAGAATGGCAATTGTGCAGTAATAACTATCTTCTTTACCAGTATAGAAGAGGTGCTGTGTTCAACAGTGAGAGCAAATGTTTATGTAGCTGTTTACATTGTTCAGTACTGTTCTGACCACTCATAATAACATTTTCACTTAACAGGTAAGGAAACTGAGAAAGAGAGAAGTTAAGTAATTTTTCCAAAGCTAGAAAATGTCAGTGTCAGAATTTGAACCCCAGGCAGTCTGGCTCTAAAGTCTGTGTTCTTGACACTGTGCTGTCTTTTCTATAGGTGCTGTTAGGAAGATGCAACTGTGAGTTAAAGGCTTAGCTGGTCTAGGCCAGGTTCTCTTGTCTTGGAACTAATATTTTCTCTCGTGCAGGAAACTTTGAAAAGCATCCCAAAGAACTGATCAGGGGCCCCATATGGCTTCGAGGTTGGAAAGGAAATGAATTGCAGCGTTGTATTCGAAAGAAGAGGATGGTTGGAAATAGAATGTTCTGGGATGACCTGCACAACCTTAATAAACGCATCAGATATCTCTACAAACACTTTAACCGACATGGGAAGTACCGGTAGAGACAGATGAAAACTGTGAAAGAGGCCCAGCTATTTCCCTGGAGAAGTGGAACAGTACTTTTCCCTATGAGGAAAGGACTTTGTATGTACTCTGTAATAAAATGGGGTTTCTTTGGAATTTGGTATCTATACACTTTATTTTTCTTACATGCTGCTTCTATTCTTTCATATAGACATGAAGTCTGACTCATCCCTGAGTCTTAGGGTCTTTTGTTTAGGCTTTGAGCCATTTGCCCTTTGCAGTCTAGCAATACATATAACTTTTTTTTTTTTTTTTTTTTGAGACAGAGTCTCACTCCATCGACCTGGGTAGAGTATGGTGGTATCATAGCTCACAGCAACCTCAAACTCTAGGGCTCAAGTTATCAATCATCTTGCCTCAGCCTCCCAAGTAGCTGGGACTATAGGCACCTGCCACCATGACTGGCTAGTTCTCTTTTTTTTCTTTCTTTCTTTCCTTTCTTTCCTTTCTTTTCTTTCTTTCTTTGTCTCAAGCTGTCACCCTAGGTAGAGTGCTGTGGCATTGTAATTCATAGCAACCTCTAACTCTTGGGCTCAAGTAATCCTCTTGCCTCCGTTTTTCTTTATTTAGTAGAGATGAGGTTTCGCTTTTGGTCAGGCTGGTCTCCACCTAGTGAGCTCAAGCAATTCACCTGCCTCAGCCTCCCAGAATGCTAGGATAGCTAGTTTTTCTATTTTTAGTAGAGACAGAGTCTCTGTCTTGCTCAGGCTGGTCTTGAACTCCTGAGCTCAGGTGATCCACTCGCCTTGGCCTCCCAGAGTGTTAGAGTTACAGGCATGAGCCACACACCCCTATGGCCTTTTAAAAAAGAAAAGTTGGCAGAGCGAGGTGTCTCATGCCTATAATCCCAGCACTCTGGGAGACAGAAGTGGGTGGATTGCCTGACCTCACGAGTTTAAGAACAGCCTGAGCAAGAGCGAGACCCTGTCTCTTAAAAAAAAATTAGCCAGGTGTTGTGCTGGGTGCCTGTAGTCCCACCTACTCAGGGGGTTGAGGCAGCAAGCAGAAGAATCGCTTGAGCTCAAGAGTATGAGGTTGCTGTGAGCTGTGATGCTACAAGCACTCTACCCAGGGTGACAAAGTGAGACTCTATCTCAAAAAAAAAAAAAAAAAAAACATTGGTGAGAATACTTTATTGGCGCTTTTTAACTTTGACACTTCATGTATTTTTACTGGTCATCTTTAATTGCCCCATAGTGGTATTTTGTTACAAGTGTTTCTAAAGACCCTTTCACACAGGAACGAAATTAATAGAAAAATGGAATTATACTTTTATACTACTTTCACTGAAAAATATTTATTAGGTATCTTCTCTGAGTGGGAACCATAGGAGAAACAAAAAAGTGTAAGATATCCTTCCTATTTTAGTATGAGGCATTAAGTACCACGTGAGTAATACAGGTAGGGGATGCTAAGCCTGACTGGTCATCAGAATCATCTTGGTAGTCTAATATTTCTGAAGCATAGTCCCAACCCCTAAGGATTATGAGGCAAGCTGAATCTTGGGCATCTATATTTTGCTTTTTAAGTAATTAAACAACTAACCGTACATACAATGCAAACTTTAAAAATTTAAAAAGTTTAAAAGTGTAATCAGAATGAAAATTCTTTCATAAATATACCTGCTTTGGGGCAGAGAAAAGAAAGTTCTTATATCCTATTTTGGGGTTTTGTGTGAATGTCTATTTGTACTCCTTTTCAGAGGGAGCCTCCCAAGTATCTTTTTAATCCTGGACATATACTGCATGTGTATAAGCTTGACTATATATCTCCCTTTAAATAATAGGATTCCGTACACTGTTGTGTACCTTGGTTTTTCATTTAATATAACTCAAAGATTGTTTTATATAGTCACTAATGTACCGTAATGACTTAACCAGTTCCATTTTGATAACCATTTAAATTGTTTTCAGTCTTTTTTAAAACAGCGTGACTCCTCTAATTTTCAGCAACTCTAATTTTAAAGCTCTCAGGTAATTTAAGCTATGTGTAGAAACTACTAAAGTCGGTAATAAATGGCCTGGATAAGAGTATGTATCTGACTGGCCTAATCAAGACAGCCTTCATAGAACAGGTTGGATTTTGAAGCAGTGAGGAGGTGGTAGAACATTTAAAGCAGAACATAGGTGATGATGAGGGAATTTAGCTGTTTTGAAGTATAGTATGATACTATTCTACCTGTCTATGCTTTGATGATAACTTAGCATTGAATCAAGTTTAATAACTTAGATGTTACTCAAGGGTAAAAAAAATGTTGCTACAATTTCTAGAGTTGTGTATTAATTAGGATTAAAATGTTTAATGTGTCTCCAGTGCCTAGAATGGTGAGATTATCAATAAATATTTGCTGAATAAAGCATCTGAGGCCAGGTGTGGGGTCTCACACCTGTAATCCTAGTACTTTGGAAAGCCGAGGTGGGAGGATTGATACTAGGAGTTTGAGATCAGCCTGAGCAATATAGTGAGATTCCTATCTACAAAAATTTAAAAATTAGCCAGACATAATGGTGTGCCCCTGTAGTCCCAGCTATGTGGGAGGCTGAGGCAGGAGGATTGCTTGATCCCAGGGCTTCAAGGTTGCAGTGAGTTATGATGAGGCCGTTGCACTCTAGCATGGGGAAAAGAGAAAACTTCTCCCAAAAAAAAAAGGCATTTGATGTGTTGCTTTTTATTTTATTTTTTGTGGGGTCATTCCAAGTTAGGGTGAATGCTGTATTGCTTTTAAAGAAATTTTTTAAATGTAAACTGAAGTTCTGTTCCTTGAGCAGATTTTTTTTTTTTTTTGAGACAGAGTCTCACTGTGTTGCCCTCAGTAGAGTGCTGTGGCATTACAGCTCACATCGACCTCAAACTCTTGGGCTTAAGTGATTCTCTTGCCTCAGTCTCTCAAGTAGCTGGGACCACAGGCACCCACCACAATGCCCGGCTATTTTTTGTTTAGTCATTGTTGTTTAGCAGTCTCAGGCCGGTTTCAAACCCGCCAGCCTCAGTGTATGTGGCTGGCTCCATAACTACTGTGCTGAGCAGCTTGGGCAGATTTTTTTTAGGTTGATATGTGTAAGTTTTTTGTATAGACTTGTTTAAGAACATAGGATTTGGAGTCAGACAGGTCTGGGTTTGAATTTAAGCTCTAGTTCTCTATGAAATAAAATAGTTAACTTATATGGACCTTAGGTTTTTTTTTAGTTTGTAATTTAAGAATAGTATAATCTTTTCTTTTCCTCTTAGGATTGTATGAGGAATAAATAAAATTATGCAAGTGAAATATTTAGTGCAGAGTTTGGCAAGTGTAAGTGGTGATGACACTCTTCTGGAGTGTGTAGTTGTGGGTGGCACCTGTGGCTCAGGGGAGTAAGGTGCTGGCCTCATATGCCGGAGGTGGTGGGTTCAAACCCAGCCCTGGCCAAAAACCACACACACACACACACAAAAACCCAGCCTGGAGTGTGTAGCTATGAAGAATTAAAAAATATCTGACTGGGCTCAGTGCCTGTAGATCAGCGGCTAGGGTGCCAGCCACATACACCAGATGGTGGGTTCAAGTCCACCCCAAGCCTGCCAAACAATGACAACTACAACCAAAAATAGCTGGGCGTTGTGGTGGGTATCTGTGGTCCCAGCTACTTAGGAGGCTGAGGCAAGAAAATTACTTAAGTCCAAGAATTTGAGGTTGCTGTGAGCTATGACTCCATAGCACTCTAGCCAGGGTAACAGCTTGAGACTCTGTCTCAAAAAAAAGAAAAAGAAAAATCTGGCTGGGCATGGTGGCTCATGTTTGTTATCCTAGCACTCTGGGAGGCCAAGGCAGGTCGATTGCTTGAGCTCAGAAATTTGAGACCAACCTGAGCAAGAGTGAGACCCTTTCTCTACTAAAAATAGAAAAATTAGCCAGTGGGGTGGTAGGCACTTGTAGTCTCAGCTACTTGGGGGACTGAGGCAAGAAGATTGCTGGAACCCAGGAGTTTGAGGTTACTGTGAAGTATGACACCACTAATACAACCTCCCCCCCCCAAAAAAAATTGCCAGGTATTGTGGTGGGTGCCTGTAATTCCAGCTACTTGGGAGGCTGAGGCAAAAGAATCGCTTAAGCCCAAGAGTTTGAGGTTGCTGTGAGCTGTGACACTACAGCACTCTACCCAGGGTAAGAGCTTGAGACTGTCTCCAAAAAAAAAAAGAAAGAAAGAAATACTTATAGTAGTAACTTTCTGTTTCAGATCCTTTAAAGTAAGAACTTGTTTCCATTATTATTACATAACCACCCAAAAACTTGATGCCTAAAGACTACAATTTATTCATGTTCTCTGGGTTGTGTAGACTCAGCTGGTTAAGTCTCCATTTGGTGTAGGTTAGGGTTGATCATATGGTTGTATCCAGCTGGGAACTTGGCTGGGGCTAGAATTTCCAAAATGTATTCACTTGCATCTGGTGCCTAAGCTGGGGTGGCTGAGACTCTTTTTTTCATATGGTCTCATTCAGTTGTCTAGCCTCATTTTTTTTTCTTTTTTTTTTTTTTTTTTTGAGACGGAGCCTCAAGCTATCCCCCTGGGTAGAGTGCCATGGCATCAC